GCCCCCCCCCCCCCCCCCCTCTCTCTCTCTCTCTCCAATTTCAATGTTCAAGGAGTTGTTGGGTTCTCAAAATTGGAGTGGGAGGAAACAATTTAGTACCAAGCACGCCTAAGAATATGGTTCAATCTATGCAAATGATACAAATTATTTTATCAGGAACAACTCAAAGGGATTCAAATGAAAACAAACTTTTATCGATTGCTAAAAATTATTTTGGCCATCTTATCAAATAAGACCTAGTTTTTTTCTCTCTACAAAGTTGAGAGGCAAAACGAAATTATATACAAACAGAGACAAAACACAGGCAATAGTAAGGAGGGACAAGGAAGAGAAAGGAAAAGGAAACGGTCAAATGGAAATACAAATTTCCCCTCATCTTGACACACATCTAATTGGGATTGAATTTGTAGTGATTTCATTACACTCAAAAACAACAGGAGTTATGTTTAGGTTTTCTAAGTATAAGGAATCAATGTGTAACTAGACCAACCAAACTACAAGGAGATAAAATGTAATTTTTACTTCTCTTTAACTACTAGCAAAAGCAGTGGTAGTTAAGGTGACCACCACCATTAAAATCACGTCATATGAGAATTTAAATCATCTTTACCTTAATTACATAAAAAAAATCAATAGATCATTATCATCCTTCTTTTCCTTTTCCCATCATGGTTTATTTACACGAGATTTGGCAAGATACAAAGATAGGAACTTTTTTGGGTTTAGATCCAGTCTCAACACTTTTAAGGCCAAAGGTCCATAAAATCAACCCTTAACAAAAATACCCTTCCTTCATGAAGGAGGTTATTTAAAGGCCTTCACCGTTTTATCATTCTTATATTTATTACCGCTATCATTATCATCCCACCGTGGCCACCACCACCATTCGCCACCTCTCATCACCACCCACCACCCACTACTGCAGCCCACCATCACCCATCGCCGCCAACCATCATCACCCAAAACCCACCACCCACCATCACCCATAGCCATCACCGCGATCCACCACCACCCCACCTACCACTACAATCCACCACCACCCATCACCACCGACCACTACCCACCATCGCCACCAACAACTACCACCACTATCCACCACTGCCGCCCATCATCATCCACCACCACCGTCGCCACCCATGACCAACCCTCACCATTGCCCACCACCAACCATCACCGTTGCCCACCACCCACCACAACCGTTGCCCACCATCATCCACTACCAACACTACCCACCACCGCCACCAACAACCACCCACCACGACTCAATTTTTTAATATATGTGCTGGAGATATTAAAAAATCAGAGCTAAACAAGGGGGGAGATAAAGGAGAGTGAACTAAAAATACTATTGCTCTCTCTTTCTGAATTAATTGTTTAATATGCAAAATTTGGATGAGATTTAATGTGTTTCATGAAATTTCTCAAACATCTTTATTTAGATTGGCAAATTTTGGATAATCTTACTGGTTCGATTTTTGTAAACTAAAAACAGTCTTTGTGTGTGTGTGTGTGTGTGTCTCTCTCTCCCTCTTTCTTTTTGAATCGATTGTTTGATATGTAGAATTTGGATGATATTTGATTGTTTCATGAAATTTCTAAAAGATCTTTATTTAGATTGGTCAATTTTGAATAATCTTACTTGTTCAATTTTGTGCACTAAAGACAATGAACCAAGGATCCAAATATCGTTTCGAAACGGTCGAAACATCCGAAACGTTTCCGTTTCTAAAAAAATTGAAACGAATCACTAATGGAATCGAAATTCTTATACTTCAAGGTGTTTTATAATGTTTCAAAATGTTTTGTTATATTTCAATGTATTTGCACAATTATTTCAGAATATTTCAAAATATTTTAGTATATTTCGACCAATGTTTTTAAAAATAATTTTTTATTTTTTATTTTTTTTCATTATGTTATTGGAACAGGTTGAAATGTTTCCGTTTGCTAGGTAACCGAAACGAAATTTTAATCCTTGCAATGAACTCAAATACGGGGAACTAAAAATGTCTCTTTCTTTCTATGTTTAATTATATATTGTGGATATATTGTGAGCGTAAATAGTGTAGTAATTGTTCACTAGTGATGTACTGTCATCTTTTTGGGAAACCAAAATTTCAATTAAAACACAAATGGTTCAAAATTCATTACTTCATCCTCTAAGATACACACCAACCACCACCCACCACTACCACTACCACCACCCACCAATAGAATGAAACTTCTAATTCACAAAAAATTTATAAATAATGAACTTTAATACAATAAGCTTTAATAGAATGAAACTCGTGGTTCACAACAGTGAATTATAGTAGACTAAAATTTCTAGTTCACTGTCCAAAATTTTCACAAACAGTGAACTACAAAAATTATTAAAATTTTGAACTAAGAAATATATTATCAAAAGATTCAAAAAATATTGGTAGTTACAAATAAGAACAAAATTAAAAATAAACAAAAAACTCTTAACAAGGCGTCAAATTATTTGCACGCTTTGTTGAAGCTAATCAACAATCAACCGAACCAAAGCCAAAACCCCAAATCTGACAGTGTTGGTTGGGATTGTGCCGGAAAGACCCATTGCTGGGAGGCGGAACTAGTGACAATAGGTGGGTTGGGAGAGTAGGTGATGCCAAGCCATGAACATGGAATAAGTTATGAGAAGTCCTAGAGGAGAGCTTGGCCGCCCACAGCGGAGCGGAGGGCTAAGTGGGCACACAGTCAGTGGCGAGGTCAGAAAAGGAGGTGGGGAATGAGAAGAGGTGAGAGAAAATTACGATGGTGATGAAGTTGTTTTGGAGGGCTAGGAAGTGGGTTTCATGTACTTCTTCTTGCCCGTGTTATTGTCCATAGCGCGTGTGTGTGTGAGAGAGAGAGAGAGAAAGATAGACAAAAAAAAAAATAGAGTTAGGATTGGACATTGAAACCTAATAAAAAGGGCCATTAAAAGCCTTGCAGCCTGAAGAGAAGAGATAGATAGTACAGAACAAAAAAAAAAAAGAGAGAGAGAAGGAAACCAGTGAGTTACTAAAAGGTATGCTGGTCATATAAAAAAAATAAAATTAGTTTGGCCTATATGACAAAAAAGATCAGTAGAGTTGGACCTCACGCCTTAAAAAGTACATGGCTAGACTTATTGACAACTTAGGTACTGAATTTATAGTTTTCAACAATTCTCACTTTATTTACTTGTTAATTTTTCTTTAACCAAACAGCATTAATTACAACCCATATCTCATTTAAATCAAAACAAAGAGTAAAAACATATCAAACAGTCTATTGATTTAGCTTACCTGTGCCCAACAAGGAATGGATGCAAAAAAGATCCTGATCTTGGAACATCAGGATTGGCCCTAGTCGCCCTATGAGTCACAGATGGAGCTGAGGGCTGATCAGCACCACCAAGGGGACTACTCATTGTAGGGAAGGCAGAGGACTGGTGCTCCCAACCATGATAACTGACATCTGCGGTAGGAAAACCATAAGAAGTGGGCATCTCACTTGTAACTGACGCAGCACTCCATTGACTGTTGAAATTAGAACCATCTGAAATACTTCCACTGAAATTTGAGGACGAGGGGTGAACTGGTCCAAAGTAAGCGATATATGGGCAAGGATGACTAGCAGATGATACAGCTGTATTTTCAGCAAAGATAGCATGTTGTCCGAAGAGATCATGATCTGCACCAAAATAAAAACTCTGATCCTTACTGAAGCTTAACTACAAAGCACCAAAAAAAAAAAAGCAGCTTAGCTACAAATCAGTAGATAAGCAAGAGAGAAAAATCTTACATGTCGTTGATGGAAGTTCCCCCTCACTGCAAAAAATTTAAAACATAGCTTGTCAGAGGAAGAGTTTACCCATAACAAATGCAAAAAAATTACTCTACACAAAGTGACCAACAAACACAATGAAATGATGTGCCCTCCATACTCTCACATTGATACAGGTAGGATGTATGTTCTCAAATCCAAAACATATGACATCGAATTGATAAATCTACTATGTCAAATTTTAATATGATAAAGTTATGAGTATTATATTCAAGTACAATGGATACACTTTTATATCAGGAGATCATTAGTCCTTTAAATTGCTTAAAGGTATATGGTTCATGTATGTTGATGAGATTAACATACACTAGAAATGAATCACTGGCAAATTAGAATGGATTCAGAATCATGATAGACAGGACAGGACATCAGATCTGTAACGACTGTAGTCTGTAATACACTAGACTTCTATGTGATAAAATGATTTTCTCTCAATAATCGGAGCAGTCAACGCCGAGTTAGTACACTGGTGTATTCAATAAATTTTTAGAATAAATTTCACACGTACCCCCTAATAATAGCACAATAATCCCTTGAGTTTTACAAATTGTACCAACGGCCCGTGCTCTAATGATACTATTTGTCTTGTGAAAGCTTTGCCTTCTCGAGATCAAGGGTTCAAGCCTCCCTCCCTCTTACACTTCCAATAAAAAAAAAAAAGTTTTACAAATTGTAACGCATGGGCCCCCGTCATTTAACAACCATTAGTTAGCTTAACGAAAACTTATTTTGTCATAAAAAACACCCCATATTCCGAGAAATGACCTCGTATACAAATTCAACATTAGCTTCATTCCAAAAATATTATTTAATGCACAATATTGGCCCTCATATTCCTTATCAATATAAAATAATCCAATTTTCATATAAATGAAGAATAAAATAGTCCTATTTCAACAATTACCCACTTATATCCAAACACTCCTAATTCACCAAACTCCCATAACCACCTTCCCTCCACCACAGCAGCCACCTTAGAAAACGGATCAAACTCAAAATGTTGTTTGATCCGAATTGAGTCAATGATCAAGACTCTGTCACTTTGCCGTGAAATCCTCGTGTTCAGCCGGATTCCATCGTTTGGGCCTTCAAATTAGTGTTTTTGTCCCTTCAGGAAATATTTAAAAAACTTTATATAAATCGTAACAAACTCCAATTTCAAGATCGTCAACTTTCCTAAGCCCTAGACGACACATTTTATTTTAATTAGTTAGGTTGCAATTTTTCATATTTGGTAATCCTCTTAAAATTTAGAATTTTTTTTTCCGTTTTGGATGTTCCTACAAACTGCCCCTATCTACTACCGAGTTTTATTCATTCAACAATATCCTTTTCAGATTGTTTCTTACTTTTCCTGCGGATTCAAGATTGTTTGTGTTCAATACATAAAAAGAAATTGTGATTCCTAAGTTGGTGGAAGGCACCACAAGTTTGCAACTGGGTCTAAGATTTGGATCTGGTTATGAAGTAGATTTGGATTAGCGTATCCGCATAGACAGGGTATGGATTAGGCATTGGGTTTGGTTTTGGATTTGAGTATGGATACAAGTCCAAATTTTATTTTAATTATTTAAGTTGTTTGAGTGTAAAAAAATTATTTACTAGAACAATTAATGCCAATCAATCTTTAACATCGATTGGGGTTGTGTTTTTTTGGAAATGTCAGAGAGTTCCGAAAATTTATCACGTACAATTACTAATACTACACACACAACCAATTACTCCTCATAGCCTTTGCTATTATAACCAAAAACCCTGAATTACATTTGGCATAATTTAAGAAAACTTGTGATGAAGCAAAATACTTAGATCGGCTGTAAATTGCTATTTAGAGCAAGAATCAACACCATTTAACGAATTTTCAGTAATAAGATAACAAGAAAAAGCATTAGAATCAAAGAAAGAACAAGAATATATGAATTTCTAGGGCAGATAAGACAAAAATTCTGATTTTTTGAAATAAAAAAAAACTGCTACAAAGACTCATAAAGAGGTATTTACACTATGGTTACAACAGCCTTAGCATCCTAGCCCTTGATCACTTCAGTAACTCTTTAATCCTAGTCATCCAAAATAATAAAAAACTCACATGGCTTCTTAAAAGACTCACCATAAATACCATCTATGAGACTCACATAAAACATAAAACACTATAGAAATTAAAAAGGCAACTAAAAAATCTGCTAACTAGAGCTTAAGCTAAGCCTGTTACTGGGCTTTTGCTCGGTCTTGACAAGCCTCTTGAATGCTCCCACCATCACCCCCTCTGATTGGAAGAAACTCGACTTTCACGAGAAAGTCTCCACAATTTCAGCATAAATCTCTGGACCAATCTCTTTCAACACCTTGGCAATCTATGAACTTTTTACTAGATAGTTTTAGCCACTTAAAATCAACTCCCTTCAAACATTTTATGATTTGACTCATAATAGAGCAGAAATTTCATATAAACCTCCTTTGAAATCAAGCCAAACCATGGAAACTGCAAAGATCACCCATAGATTGTGGTATTGGTCACTCCTTGATAGCCCTTACTTTCTCTAGATTAGGTTGTAAGTCATTTTCTAAGACAACAAAGCCAAGAAGTACAAATTCGTGGCACAAAAAAGAGCACTTCTTCATATTCATATTGAGAGTCTCCCTACGAAGAACATCCATGACTTGATGTAAATGGACTAAATACACATCTCGAGTATGTCTATATATAAGTATATTATTAAAGTAAACAACAAATAATCCCAAGAAAGGTTTAAAAACCTCTATCATAACTCGTACAAATGTAGTCCAAAGCATCAGAGAGTCAGAATGTCATCACTAACCACTCAGAGTTCATCCGGTGTTTTAAAAGTGGTCTTCCACTCATAACCACTATGTATTCGAATTTGATGATAACCGCTACACGTCAATTTTTGAGAATACCATAGATTCTATGAGCATGTCCAACATATATCCCAACCGAGGAATTGGGAACCTACATTTGATGGTGATTTTATTTATGGCACGACTATCAATGCAATCTCCATGTTCCATTTTTTTTTTTTTTGAGCTATTAATGCTGGTACAGCACATGGACCTTTACTTTCTTACACTGGCTCTTTAGCAATTAAATCTTCTACATGTTTTTCATCTCAACGCATAGTGCGAAAGGCATACAACATGCTGCCAGATTTGGTAAAGCTGCTTCTGGCACCAAATCTATAGCATGCTGGACACTTCTGACTAGTGATATACCCTTCTGGTATCCTTAGTAGTTGTTGAACTTCTGGTATCAAAATTTTGTTCATATGGATTACCTTAGACATTCCTACAAACAAGCATAAACATCAAACCGGTTTCCTTGCTTTCTTTTTCAAATTTTTGGGCTGTTAAAGTGCCATTAACCTTGTTGGTCTGAGTCTTAACATTGGTTCTTTCTTCAAATGGCTGCAATGTTAACATCTTGGTACCACTTTTAAACGATATGTATTAGAGCCAGATTTGGTAAAGCTGCTTCCGGCACCAAATCTATAGCATGCTGGACACTTCTGGCCGGTGGTAAACCCACCGACAATTCATCCGCAACTAGATCCTTAAAATCCCTTCTTAGATGTTGAATTTTTGGTGGAAAATCAAAATTCTTTTCATATTGATTACCTTGGACCAAGGATCAAAATTTTGTTTCAGGGCATTATTTCGGTCATGTAGGAAAATGAAGCGTTTCAACGTGTTTCGGAAATGTTTCGAAAATATAATAAAAAAAAAAAATTAAGAATTATTTTTTCAAAACATTGTTCGAAATATACCAAAATATCTTGAAATACCTTGAAACATTCCGAAATAATTGTACAAATACATTAAAATATAACAAAATATTTCAAAATATTATGAAACACCTCAAAATATTAAAATTTTGATTCCATCATTGATTCGTTTCGGCCTCTTTAGAAACGGAAACGTTTTGGATGTTTTGACCATTTCGAAACGATATTTTGATCCTTGCTCTGGACATTCCTTCCAACAAGTATAAACATCAAACCAGTTTCTTTCTTTTCTTCTTCGAATTTTTGGGCCGTTAAAAAGCCATTAACCTTGTTGGTTTGAGTCTTAACATTGGTTCTTTCTTCAATGACTGCAATGTTAACGACTTGGTACCATTTTCAAACAAATATGTATTAGCTTTAGTGTAGTGGATAATAACTTTGTCGTACAACCATGGCTTCCCAACAAAATATGGCAGGCATTCCATCGGCACAACATCACCAATCCTCAATCTTTGAAATCATCATTGACCAAGCAACAAGAAGTAACAGGGACATCGTTTACCCCTCAAAACCATGCAGCTTCATAAGGATTCAGATACTTTCCAGTTGGTAACTTCAACTTCTCTATGGCCTCCTTTTAAATAAGGTTCTCACTGCTACCTCCATCACTAATACATGAAAAACACTTAAACATTGAAAACTTATCCACCACAAAAAAAAATTTATACAAAAATAATTATGCATCTTTCAATCCTCTTCTTCTTCGATCTTGGGTGTTGTCATCACTCTCCATACCAAGGACTCCCCTTGTATCAGAAGAATTTCTCTTCCTCATCCCCAAGCTTTACCAAGTTAACTCTTCATTGTGGGCACGTATAAGCATGTGTCATTTTTTCCAACAAGTGAAACAACGAAACTGTGAAGCAATTCTTGTCTTTGAACTATTTGCACCGGCAACACATTTTCCGTCAAACCTTGCAATTTCCTATTTCTTTTTTCACCTCTATCAGCCACCCCATACTTCCACACTTCTGTCGACCCCACGATCAAATTTTGAGGCCATTTGTCCACTCCAAACACTCGAGACAACAGTTGTGTTTTTCTGCGCTACACCATCAACATGTCCAAATAATGGTCATATTTCACTTCCCATTCCAAATAACCTTCGACATGCATTTTTTTGAAAAAAAACAAACATCGTCATTTTAATTCCTCCACCATTCAAATCAAGGGCACATACCAATCTACCCCAATTTGGATTGTCTAAGTGATCAATTTCATGAAGGGGATTCTCTTCTTCTACTTTATCATCTTCCTCTAGACTATTGTCCGGTATGTCAAAAGGATCATGGTTGTCTCCTGGAATCTCCATATGAATTTCTGTTCATTTCCGTCATTACAGCTATGATTCAA